TGTAGATTGACTACAAGTGCTACCAAGTGCAGCGGGGCTGCCGTAGCTTTGCGCTTTGGGGAAGCTTAACTCAGGTCACCGACCTTTCGTTCTATACTTCGAAGAAGGAAGAGTTAAGTGGATCGAAATCCGCTTACTCCAAGAGTAATTATTGCCTTAACGCAAGGCTAGTTAACTCTTCCGTTTAAATCCAAAACTGACTTTATTTATTTATTTATCTACGGCAAAGCCGACTAATTCTAAATGTATAGATTTTCCTAAATGTATAGTAAAATCCAAATAACAGCATAACTACTAACTACACAGCCACATACCGTTTTCTTATTTCAGTGCAGTCACACCATGCCCATCTCGTGTGACACACATCCCTGTTACCAGATTACGTGTAACCCCGTTACAATTTCTCATAATGTGCGTATTAACATCAACACCAAACATAATATGTATTTTGTACAATCGTGCCAAACATGTAAATAATAGATCACGATAGTTACCACAATACCCTAACCGTTCCTCTCCTCGTCATTGTCTTGGATTAGTCTGTTTAGGCCGCACGCCTAAACAGACTAATCCAAGACAATGACGAGCCCAGACAATGACGAGCCCAGACCGTCATTCGGTACCTACCCCGATTCCACCGTTTTGCACCTCTTTGCGAAATATCCAAGGGGTAAGGCTTTGAGCTAAACGAGTGTTTCTGTGCCGACACATAGAGAAACATCGAGAAAATTATGTGTTTCTGTAAGAATATTAGGGCTTGGCCCTTCCATTTGCGCCTGAACACCGCTCGCTCTCGTCAGACCTGGGGCAGAAGGTCGCAACATATAGTTTCCTGACTCGCCTCTACCGGCTATAACACATAAGACTTCAACAAATACCCGCATTTTACCTCCCCATTAGAAGTACTCTCTGGGGATCACGTTGAACTGTCTCTACCGCAGTAATAAACTCTAGAGTCCGCGATATACAATCGCTTTTGTTCAGTCTAATATTCGGCTCACTGCTGTTTCGCCTTAAAGATTACTTTAAGGAACTAAGCAATAAATTTGCTGGACCCCAAGATCTGCAGATCAGCTATCACAGCTAAAAATCCGCGTTCTTCTGTTTCCTGATAAGTGTTGTTTCATGAGTAAACACAACTCCACAAGGATTGAAGTACACGACACCAAGTTTTTTTTACTTGTATTAGATCCACCACTCAAGACAACAAGTCACGTATAATATCATCTAGGTTTAGAAACAGGATGAAGCAGCTTTTCACGCCGCCAAACCCTTCAACTTTACAGATCGGTTTAACAGACCTCCGACATGTTCCCATCTCAAGACACAAATATCGTGTGTGCTCAGCGCTTTCTCGTACTGTCTACCATTTTCGACTGTCCAGCGCGTAGCGTAATTGCACACGTTTCTATATATATATATCAAGATATTCTAACTTTTGACGATTGCAAGTATCCTAAGATGTTCATTTTGTTAGTCAACAACCCTCAGTTGTGAGACCCACCTCTCCCGACTAAAATCGTCGCTTTTTTAGGGCTGCTCTTGGGTGATACTCGACCATCATACAAGGTGCAATTCAATTCTCTGCTTTCTTAGTGGGCCGTTCTGTACATACTGAGATTGAACATTGAGTGTTTTTGCGATGGACTCGCAGCATTTCTGCCAAAATAGGGAGAGGATCACAAGCCAAAGACTTTCATACTCTACAGATGTAACATCGGTGAGGATGTTAGATCTTTTTGTTAGCTGATAGATATCTTTTGTACAGTTGAGGTCAACCGCCTCTTGCGCTTGCAGAGCTTACACCTTACGTATCACAAGCGACCCTCGCGGCGCGAATCGTACTTCGCGTCCAATATGCTGCCGCGATGGACGGTTTGTGGTACGTAATGAGAAAGCGGTGGATGCAAATCTACCACGTCTTCAAAATAGGCTAGGCTGACGCGGAGGATCACGGTGGAAATGCGCCTATATACAAGCCTCCCATGATTATGACGGTGCTACCACCTGAACAGTGTGTGTTGCCATTGCTGTGATAGTTACTCTCGGCTCTTGGATATAGTCCGCTAATTCTCGCATTATTTGACGTGTTAACAATAATTGAGCGTATGGGTTACGCTTGGTAAGTCGATGCGAAAGTCCGCGACATATGGTACTAACATAATTTGTGTTTAGAATGCCTTTCATGAAGAAATTGAACGCTAGTATCCATTCTCGCGTGCAGCCTATCGGCCTAAACATCGGGAAAGCAACGCGCTAGTGCTCTGTCTAGAGCAACTACAGCTATCTCAGCATATATCAATCGCGAATAAAACTTTTCTTTTCTCCGGATTGTAAAAAAACTGGTTTACCATGACCGGCCCCAGAGTAGTAGCCACTTTTTAATTAGTGAGTGATTGAGGCTTTTCTGGATCTGTCACACCACTGCATGCTTATAGCTTGAGACTACCTTCAGGTATTCGATCACCGCTTCTTTTCTTCATCCGCCAAGCGTGCTACTGACTCGCTACCAACTAAAAGTAAAAGCTTATTTAGCTTTTCTTATAATGTCTCGATGAA